GTCACGACCCAATTTCAACCCGGTCGTGATGGCGCCTCTCGTGAAGACAAGGCCACCCAACTAACCCAAACCGTCTCTTTAATATTTATTACATAAACGAATAGGTGAATATAGCTTAACGACAATAAAATAACCGGTATGTACAACCCAACACAAACCGACCGGGGTGTCACAAGTCACGAGCATCTAAAGAACCTGAACAAACTACAGGGCAATAATAATATATATAAGAAAAATTCTGGAAAATCAAAAGACAACATCCGATGCCGCGAAACGCTGGCGGTCACCTTGCTCCAGCTACAATAGCCTACCTTCAATCAGCTAATAACCCGCTACCGAGTGAACAATACCTGCACTGCATGCGAGGCAGGGAGTAAACGTGAGTACTTTCCAACTCAGTGAGTAATAAAAGTAAATAATAACTGAGCAGCAAGAATCACGTAAAGCAACCAACATGCTGTATAGAAGCCGAGTATAAATTTTCTGAGAAAAAAACAGTGAAAATCTGTGAGATCTTTAGAAATATCTTGGCTCAGTTCAAATTCTCCTTTGAAAATGATATTTTCAATACTTACGGAAACGATTTCAAAACAGTTAAGTGCTGATAGCAACAGAAAAAATCCGCCTCGGCATAAATACCACGGTATAACAGGTAAAAAAAAGGCAATAATATGCAAGATGAGCACATAAAAGTACGCCCTCGGCACCTCTCAAAACAGTACCAGCCCCTTGGGTCATATCAATCACACAGTACAACATCAGATAAATAGTAGAATCCAGTGAAGTATAGTAAGAAATCTTTGAAACAGTTAAAAATCAATCATACTCAACCAGTAAGTCAGCATTGTTACCTGACCGGTCAACCATTGTTACCTGAACCAACGCGTATTCAGTGCCATTGTTACCACTGGTCAGTCATTGTTACCTGACTGGCTCAGTTCATTGTTACCTGACTAAACCGCGTATAACAAGTGTCATTGTTCCACTGTTCAATTTAATCACCTAAGATGGGTACCCGCGCTCACTGTGGGTGTGCAGACTTCGGAGGGCGCTCCTAACAGCCCAAGCGCTATCAACAAGGCCTGAAAGCCTGAACAAAATATCAACATGAGGCCTGAAAGCCTTCTCACAAGCACACTCGAGGCCTGAAAGCCTCCTCACAATACACTCGAAGCCTGAAAGCCTCCTCACATCACTCAGCATATCCTCACATATGGCCCTCGGCCTCAATCAGTCCAGAATAATCATAAGCCCTCGGGCATCAGTAAAAGAAACATAATGCTCAGCTCAAACAGTAGTTAAATATCAGTTAAACTCGAGGTTGAGTAAAAATATAGCTGAGTTCTATGAAACAGTGTAATGACAAGGACTGAGTTCAAATAATATTTCAAATAGTGAGAAAACAGTGATGATAGCTCGTAGGGGAGTTCAAAACAGTCGGCAATAAGCCCCAAATATGGCAGTAAGCCAAGTCCTAGTGAAAAACAACAAGTCATAGCGAAATACAAAAATAATAATTTGTGTTTGGCCAATTCATTTAAGAAGTACTTTTTACAATATTTGATAAACAAATTGTGTTTGACCAATCTTTATAAAAAGTACTTTTGAGTGTCAAATTACCAAAAAGGATAGTGCCAAACTTTTATAATTATTTAAAAAGAAAAATAAATTTTAATATTATTATAAGAGACTGTTATTAGTTTTTATTTAATTTAATTAAGATATAAACATAAAGTAAATATACATACTAAATATTTAAATCACCGAACATATATAGTTATACCAAAGAAATAATATTATCTAGTATAATTACTTGTTATTTACACCATGAAATAATAAGCAAAGTCACTCACACATGATAATATTTCTCAATAATTTCATCTCTAATTCTATCACGCAACGCCTCCATAATAGTATAAGACTTGTCTTGCATTTTTAAAGGAATACCAGAAGGCCCATCTCCTTCTTCAAACTCTGCTGTAATGTCTTCATTAACATAATAGTTGAATTCCTTATCAGTAGAAGAACGTCATCGGACGAAATCATGTATAGCCATGGTAGTTGTAACAAGATAAATCTGAGTGTCAAACTTGAAAGACGGCATTGAGCAAAAAATAAAAAATCTATTTTTCCAGACTCCAAATGTTCTTTCAATTGTACATCAAAGACTGGAGTGAAAAAAATTGAATGTTTCATTTGGATTTCTAAAACTAGAGTTGCGCTTGAAATCCGGAAGATGATATCGCTCACACTTATACGGTCCTAAATAACCCATCGTTGTTGGATAGCCCGAATCAACTAAATAATACCCCTTTATACATCAAGTAAAAAATAGTTAATTAAGGTGAATAAAATAAAATCTAACATATTAAACTAACACAAGGCATAGTATTAGTGTTGCTTACCTGATGGAGGATGAGGAAAGTTGAGGTTTTGCCTTCTAAGTGCCTGATCAAATATTCTAGCATCATGTGCAGTACCTTCCCACCCAGGCCATACAAATGTGAAGCACATGTCCCAATCACATACAACCATTATCGTTTTGTGAAGTGAAGCCTTTTCTACCATGTATTTGATTTGTTTCTTAGAGCGAACAATACAAGGCACGTGTGTGCCATCTATAGCTCCAATGCAATTTTTAAAATAAGGCCAATACCTATCATTCTCTTATTTTAGGATTAATATCAGAAAATATTGGATCTTTTGGCTTATAATATCCATAGCCAATTTCAAACATGATGAAAATGTCTGCTAAGAGTCTCTCGAGCGTGTTGGAATCGTTCTTGAATCATTCGATTCCCTACTCCATGTCCGACCACCAGTAAAAATAGAGCAACCATCTCCTCTATGGTTATTTTTCTTGTTGCTTTCAAATCATATTGTTATTTAGTGTTTTGCATAAGTCAAGAAATATATGTTTTTCCATCCTAAACATCTCATAACATCTCTTATCATGCCCTTCAAGTATCTCCTTGATGAAATTAAATCCTGTATGAGGAGAAGTTCTGCATGGAGTTTTTAGACAAAATTTTAAATAATATTCGGATGTGAGAGCTACACTGAAAATTACCAAATCAAGTACATCATCGTCACCTAATTCATTTATAAGAACTTCGTCAACATGCTCATCATTATTTACGGTGAATGACATATCTGTAAGAAAAAAAATAAAATAAATTTACTTGAATAACAATCTATATACTTATTATAAAAAATAAAAATAAAAAATAAAAATTACCTAAGTACAACGACATAAAATTCTAATATTTCAAAATAAATATTAGTAACTTGAATAAAAGTCAAATATAGATTCCAATAACCATAAAGCATAACTAGAACAATATCTTAAAGCAAATATAAAGTTTCAATAACTAGAAAAAATAAAATGCAGATAATAATAGGTGATATAACTAAATTTATTCTTTTTGAAGCTCAGACATCTTTTCCAACCACTGCAATTGTAACTCTGGATCTTCTTGTGCTAAAAATATTTCTCTGATTAGTTGCTTGACTTGTAGCACCCTTGCTTTCCACCATAATTCGATACCAACAATCATATCGGGTAAATTACAAACAACATCCATTACATACTTAATACTAAGCGAAGAGTCTTTTGACCCCATATTCATTGAAGAGCGTGATTGTATAGCTTCAGCAATTTTCTCTATTGATGATGTAATTCTTAGACTGGTATTGAATTTATTTTTCTCCTTTTCATTTATAGCAGTTGATGCTTTTCTTTTTCCTCTCTTAGCACTCTCACTACCATGCACTTTTTCAATCACATTCGATTCTTCTGGATTAGTTTGTTCGAATCCCTTTTCCGTATTATTTTCTATGGCATCAATATTCACAAACTCTTCATTGTCTACAAGAGTTCCAAACTCAAATGGTTGTTCTGGTTGCAACAACATCCTTAAAACAGTACTCCATCAGTTGTCGATGTTGTAAACTTTTCTCTCTAAATTTCTCTACATTTGGATTCTCCTACAAATGTGAAGAAGAACAAGAGAATTTAAAATACCAAAGCAAAATAAGTAAATAAAATTATGTTAAGTGAAAATTAAGTAGTAGAATTACAAGTACCTTTATTTTCCTATCCCGCCAATCTGCACTCGCTTGAATTGTTTATTTATCGGGATCCCGTCCTAAACCAGTCTCTTTTCGAACTAAAGTATCCCATTCTTTCCATGTACCTTTGAGGATGTCCCATTTGTTCTTCAACTTAACTTTATCATAGTTTCTTCCGGTTTTGTCATTAAATTTTTGCACCAGATTAGACCATCCTAATCTACTGAAGTGAGTTCCAGGACGATTTTCTGCTAAAATTTCTTTCACACATATAATTAGAAATAGTTTTGTAGTTTCTGTATCCCTGTTTCACTACTAGAAAATGGCTATTTTGCAACTGCAAAAACGGTCAGAAAATGCTATTTCCGACTACATTCAGACCGAAAAATCGTAGTCGCAAAATAGCTGGCCTGAAATAGTTTGCGACCGAATCCGTCCGTAATTTGCGACTACAGCGGTCGCTAAGGCAAAATAGAAAAATGACTAATAAATGTGGTAAAGTTTCCGACCGACGCGGTCGCAAACAGTATAAATTAAACTTTAATTTTATATTAACTTTCCCACTACTTCGGTCGCAAATGGTATACATAATTATAATATTATTTAATTTTATTTGAGTTTCCCACTACTGTGGTCGCAAACCTAATTTAAAATTATTTATTTATTTATAGTTCCGACTACCGTGGTTGCAAATCTAATTTTAAACTATTTATTTATTTATATTTCCGACTACAGTGGTCGCAGATGTTCCTGAATCTGGAATATTTTGATACATTTTGCGACTACTATGGTCGGAAATAAGTCGGAAAACTGGAATTTTTTGCCAACCAGCTCTTTTAAAGCAGTACCACCTACCAATTCAAATATACAACAATCAATTAATCCACCATGCTAACATATCAATCCACCATTGCAACTAATCAAATCCATAAAATGCAAAACATAAATATTTGTAACTAAAACATCCAAAAAGAGTTAATTATTCTGGCACCATTCAATCTAGTCTAAAATATTACAATCATAGTCAAGTGTAAATATTACCAAGTCTAAACATCCAACTACAACAAATAATAATGTCTCAAACATCATAACCATAACAAACTAAAACTCATTATCCCCGCCATACTCGCCATTAAAAGGACCAAATGGACGTCCGCTCATAAATTTCTCCACTAGACTCTGCAATTTGTTAAAATTTGCGCGATCTTCTTTCTGTTCCTCCTTCAACTCTTCAACTTCTTTTCGTAATGCTTCCACCTCTTCGTGATCTTGCGAATAACTCGCACCACCAGACAACAATGTCGTAGAACGACCTACAGAATATTGTGATCCAAGACCGTAGGTTCTACCTTTCTTTGTGCCACCAACCACCTGCGTCCATATTGAAGCTACATCATTGAGTGACACTTGGGTTGAGCTACCATCCCCGGAATCGGTTTGACTTTGACGCCACTCCTCAAAACGTTGTTGATAGGCTTCCTGAAATTAAAATGGAGTCAAAGCGATACTTGAAGAAATTAAAATGTACGTTTCACAGTTTTCTGATGAAGCATGCATCTATAAAAATACAAACACACACATAAACAAGGAAGAAAATGGTGCAAGTATGATGAAAGTAAAATTGATGATCTATTCAACTTCCAGATTTCTATCTTATAAAAAATTTAACATTCCTTACAATTCTAAATATGTCTCTCTGGATTGATGCTTTCTTTCTATAATAATTGATAGTGCTATGTTTGGCCTCAAAGGGAAAGAAAGGGCAAATGAAAAAATAATACAAATATATCTACTTTAGCTTGTTGGCATTCTAGATTGAAAAATTCTACTTTAGCATAGACATTCGATGTCTCCACATTCACTTCTCCTCTGCTTAAAGTTGCTCTCTTAACATAGGAAAATCTAGGGTTCAAGGGATGGAGTAGAAGTCACCAAGAAAAAGAACATTACAAATACAGAGGAAATAGTCCAATTGCAAAGAGCATGAATTGATCACAAAATATGTCTAAACCATGTCAATGGGTTAACATGGAAACACTTATTCCCTCCACTGTCATTTAGTGTCACTAGACACAATACAATGCTGACAATGGAAAAAGTTACTCCCAAAAGGCCAGGCCTATAAATATCTAATACAATATGGATTTTCAATTGCTTGGTTTATTGAGTTCACCAGTCATCAGAACCAAACACGCTTTAATCAGTTATTATTGTACATCATTTCGTACACTTTTTCAGCCTATAAAACAGACAACTCTCTTCTCAGAATCCACTCTTCTTGGGTGTAGATATATCTTTGGCAATTAATGCAACTTTGCATGCCAACTCCTTCATCATTTTATTCATACACTTACTGCAAATATAATCAAAGCCTATACAGGCTCTATAACAGGACAAATTACAATTGAGAGGACGAACCAAAAGATTCTAATTTTTGAATGTAGTAAAAAGAAATAGCAATGTCATTTTTATTGAAATCAAGTAGAATGTCAGGGTGTTGGCAGGGTAGTATAGATAAGCCTGACACATAAGAAAAAAGAAAGAGCATAGTACTAGTAAACACTTGCTCTAATTAATGCAATTGTCTTTGTAATGTGATGTGCTGTGAAGGAAGCAGCAGAAAAAGACTAATCTTTAATCATGACAATCCATAAACATTGTTCATTTTCTACCTATTAACAGGAACCATATGTTCAGTTTGAGAGGTATCTACAAAAAGCACAATGAAAATCACAAATGATAGTCACAAATGAAAATGCAACTAGAAGTCCAGAGGTGTCTTCATGAGCAACTAGAGGTATCTTGTTGTGTATTTAGCCACTTTTAACATACTGAGAATATCATTAGTGGATACTACTGAAAAATATGATAGTACTTTGTCAGAGTAAAAGAATCTGCACAACTATTAATCTTTCTGAATCGACCGTATACTCCTTATGTTGCTAGACTCAGCGAACGTTACAAATGAGGATTGGAGAACAAGCAAAAAAATTGAAAAGGATATTTGATCAACAACAAAGGACAAACAGGAATCTATTGGAGAGACAAAATTCAAGCATATCATCTCATGCGCGGGATAATGCAGAAATTTTGGATGTAGAAGATTCGGAGTAACACACATTTCCCATCCAACACAAGTAAAATGTTATGGTAACTACATTAATTTTTGGTTTTTTTCTATAGAAGTATATGCATCAGCAATCACAAAGATTTGGAAAGGAGCTTAGTCCTGCAGCAAAATCAAGAACTGACTCTTCACTAGTTGGTTCAAAAGGAAAAGCAACATGTTGATTGAGCTAATTAACTTCAAGTAAATTGTAACATATATAAAATACAGTATAAAAATCATAAATTGTGTAAGGTACCTGTCTTATGACTAAAAGAATCATCAACCCCAACAAATCAAAGAAGAAGAAAAAGAAAGAAGAAGAGACAAAAAGGAAATAGAAGGATATACCCTCGCAGCACGCGGCTCGACCCATTCTCTTGTCCCATCCTTTTTCTTTTTCAAATGTTTGTCCTCAAAGACCTCAACATAAGTCACAAGTCTCTCTTTTTTTCTTTTCCTGCAAAAAAAAATTAAGTTAGATAAAGTTCAATTGCATCTAGTTAAAATCAAAACAAATATAATAAGAAAGTTACCATTCTCCTTCGATGGGTCTCCATACTAATTGAACCCCCAGTGTGCAATGAGTCACCCGTATTGGAGGCTCGGGCAGCCTTTGCAGCAATGCTTCTCTTCTTAAATTCTTCAGAAGCCCATATCACATTAAGTCTATCCCATATGTCTTTTAGTATCCAACCGAGCATCTCGCCCTTCTATCGAGCTTTATAAAGGAGATTTTTAAGCCGATCAGCAGCTTCTTTTTCGAAATTATGACTTATTTGCTGATGATATTTGGGAATCCATGCACACCTTGTCTGCAAATTATTTAAAATATTAGATGAAATAAGGGTAGTTTGATAAATAATATAAAATTTATTGATTTTGTACCCTAAATTGATTCCACATATGATCTCTGTAAATATACGGTATATCTGACCATTTACTCCAAGCATCTCGATAAAATCCTTTAACACAATCCACAACAACCTTCGTAGATTCATTAGAGGGAACAAACCTGCATTAAAATTAACATATGTTAAAAATATATTCAACAATTCAAACGAATAATAAAGTAATTGCTTACCCAGTAGTCCCATCAGGAATGATAATCAGTCTGTGTAAGGGAATCATATGATACAATCTCTTCAAAAGTCTGAGTCTGTGTATCATCAGGAGCAGGTGTAGATGTATCAATGGATGGGGATGACGGTATGGTAGAGTCTCCAACATGCGGCCTAGAAATACTAGGAGTGGATGATGATGGAGATGAAGATGGAGCCATAGATGTGGAACCACCATTCTGACTAACATGGTAGCTTGGGTATGGAGTGAATGATGACGGAGGCATAGATGAGGAGCCACCATGCTGACTAGTACGCTAAGTTGGCGAAGAAGATGGTATAGTGTGCATGCTCTGGGAATTAGAGATAGGCTTATATCGAACTGGATCACAAGGGGGCAAAATGAAAAAGCCAGGTGGCAGTGAAGTTTGCTGAGGAGGAGGAGGAGGAGGAGGAGGAGTTTGCTGAGGAGGAGGAGGAGGAGGAGGCGGAGGAGGATGAGGAGGACCCATAAATGGCACAGACGAGGTAGTGGGACCTGAAGTGTACTGAGGAAGCTGGGAATCGTGTCTTATCTTCTTTTTTTTACCCGGCGCCATCTGTGTAACATAAGTATATTAAAAACCCTCTAGTAGGTGTTGGATCTTACCACTTACACCGAAAGAGTACCAATATTTTTTTCGGCCAACCGAAATACTCTAGTTCTAAAATCTCTTGGAGCACACCATAATAATCAACATCTCCATCACCCTTTACCCACACCCCACTATTTTGGTTTTCTTATTCTTAGACCATTCTTCTGTATGAAACTTGTACCCATTGACAAAGTACTTAGACATCATTCTGACTTTATGGTCAGATCCCCAAGCTATATCGCGCAAAAATGGGTCATTAATTCCATTCACTGGATTATGAACATATATAAAGTTAAAGAAAAGTTAGAATTTTAAATATACATGTACTTAATTTGTAACCACAAAATAGAACTTACAAACTCCTTAAACCACTCTGAAAATCTTGGATAAATAGCATCATGCCCATTTACACCTAAGTAACTGCCCACAAAATTATACCTTTCATTAGTTAAAATAACTTTGATCTTGTAATAATCGCCTTTAGTACAAATTAAGACTTACTTATAATAAGGTTGGACCTCTGGACAATTCAATAATACATGTGTTGTAGCGGACTTTTTCTCCATCTCAGTCAAATTTCGGTTTTTACTAGTTTTTGAACCTCTACCTGGTTGATTGAATATGAAAAATGGTGGTGCCAAAGGATTATTAACACCTCCATCATCATGCCGATTTGGCCTATTTCTCAAACATGACACATCATGTTCAAAATAATATGAACAGAAAGAAGAAGTTTCTTTAGCCAGATGTGCCTTGCATATTGATCCCTCAATCCTGTATCGATTTTTTACAGCCCGCTTACATTTTCCAATAGTCCTACATAGCACAATTTTTAGATGAAATAAAGTTTAATTAAAACAAGTCGAGGAAAAATAATTTAAAGTCATTACCTCTCGTAAGGATACATCCATCTACATTGTACAGGCCCTCCAAGTCGTGCCTCTTGTGCAAGATGAATTGGAAGATGTTCCATTACATCAAAAAACCCAAGAGGAAAAATTTTCGCCAGCTTGTTAAAGTTAAGCAAATATTACTCTCCATGTAAGCTAAGTTCTCCACCTTCAATGTGCTAGAACACAACTCCTTGAAAAATAAACCTATCTCAATAATGGATTTCCATATTCTATCAGGCAAGGCTTTGAATGCAATAGGCATCAAAGATTCGAGGAAAATGTGACAATCGTGGCTCTTCATAGACGTCAACTTCCCTTCTTTCATGTGAACACACCTGGATAAGTTTGACGCATATCCATCAGGCATCCTCAAATTCTTAACCCAATCACAAATCTCTCTTCTCTCATCCAAAGTGAATGTGTAACTGGCCTTGGGCTTGTGAATCTTGTTGTTCAAGTATGTTAGGTACAACTCACTTCGCCTACAATATTCCTTTAAGTCCATCCTAGCCTTCAAGTTATCTTTTGTCTTGTTATTGACATCCATTATTGTATTAAACAAGTTGTCAAAAAAGTTTTTTCTCGATATGCATGACATCCAAATTATGTCGAAGAAGATTATGCTTCCAATAAGGTAACTCCCAAAATATGTTTTGTTTAGTCCAATTATGCGTAACACCATAACCAGGTATCTTATTAGACATTGGAGACTCTATTACCTTTGGTAGAAACCTAACTCTGTTCCAAATTTCTTCTGGCGACAATGGTGACGGTGGCTCTTCAAAATCAGTTTGGTTCTTCATAAATGCACTAGTATTTCTCCTAAACTCGTGATCCATAGGCAAGAATCGACGGTGGCAATCAAACCATGTATTCTTTCCTCCATGTTTCAACGTGAATGCTTTTGTGTCTTCCATACAAGTTGGGCAAGCTAACTTTCCTGCAGTCGACCACCCAGACAACATTCCATAAGCAGAAAAATCATTTATAGTCCACATCAAAGCAGCACGCAATTTTTGTTTGGTTGATATATCATATGTTTCCACACCTTCATGCCACAATAACTTTAACTCATCAATTAAAGGTTGCATGTATACATCAATCAAACTTTTCGGATTGCGCGGACCTGGAACAATGCAAGTTAGGAACAAATATGGACTTGTCATACACAGCTCACGAGGAAGATTATACGGCGTAACAAATACTGGCCAACATGAATATAGTGCAGCAGAGACAGAAAAAGGAGTGAATCCGTCTGCACATAAACCCAACCTAATGTTTCTTGATTCACTAGCAAAATTCGGAAACACCCTATCAAAATGCTTTCATGCTTCTCCATCTGACGGATGACACAGAATACCAGGTGGCCTTCTATTTTCATAGTGCCATATCATATGAGGACCAGAGCTCATTGATGCATACAACCTCTTTAACTTAGGTATAAGGGGTAAGTAATGCATCGCCTTAACTGGAACCTTCTTCTTTTTTGAATTTATGACTTTCTTGTAACGAGGTTGGTTACAAAATTTGCAATTTTCTAAGGCTGCATCATCCTTATAGAATAACATGCAACCTTTCTCACAACGTCAATCCTCTCTGATGTAAGTCCTAACTTAGAAACTAATTTCTTTGTTGTGTAGAAATCTTTGGGTAGGTCAATTTTATTCGAATTAAGTTCATTCATAAGGCCAATGATAGAGTCCATGCCCGCTTGAGAGATACTTGAATCTGACTTAATACTTAATAATCTAACTGCGACAGACAACTTAGAATGCACTGAGCCTTCATACAATGGGCGACTTGCTTCCTATAGCTGTTCATAGATGCGCTTAGCATCATCATTTGGTTCAGACTGAGCCCCCAGGTGCATCACAAAAGCATCCCTAACCATTTCACTGAATCGAGAATTTTCAGCATTATTCTTTGCTAATGGACTACCCTCACTACCAAATTTTTTTTGAAAATCGACGTTACCAACACTAGCAACATCCTCTCCATGAATAGTCCACATGTAATAATTTTTCATAAATCTTTTTTTTATAAAGATGAACTTTAACAACATCTGGTTGTAATAACTTTTCGCATTTGAATTTCATACAAGGACACCTAATCACCCCTTCACTGAGAAATTCATTAAGTGTTTTTGTTTTAGCCATGAATTCGGCAACCCCTTCTATAAATTCTTCCCTCAACCCACTACGATTAGGATAAGTTCGATTATACATCCATCTACGATGTGCAAGCTCCATCTACACAAAATAAATCCAAGATATTTAATATGACTTATCAAATGAGACTTACACAAAGGTACCTTATCATACAGTATAGTCATATAAGCATGCTCTACATACATATGATTTCTTAACTTAGAATACTAATCTAAGTCATCTATCAGATGAAAAACATTAAATAAGGTTCTAGCAACAGGTTTCTTCTATAATCAGTAAACACACAACCACGCATTCATTTATTAAGGTTGAACAGAGGCCTGGTGTTTTCACTATGGTCAGACAAATGCGTTAAAGAACATAATAATAACCTTCATCACATAAATATGATTTTTACACTTAGTGAGTCTAAGTCATTAAACTGGGAACTAGATGAACCTAGGACAGATTAAGTGCAGTCACTCAAAAGAAACTATCCAAACACATGGATCATGAAGAGTGATTCATGCTCAAACTTCAAAAGATGTTTAACAGTCAAAGGCAAGTGCCTTCAGGATTATAGTTAGTTTCACGAGAGCCATGCTAACAGAGAACAAGAAAAAGCTAATAGAACAGGACAAGATGAGCTTCATCATATTATTTGGAACTTAAACAAGCAAAGCCTTATAGACATGGTATTTACAACAACAAGACACTCTCATGATAATAGGGAGTGACATCTATACCTAATACAAAACAAAGCTTATTGACAGTCAAATCTAAATACCAGAAATGACACATTCCCAAAAATGTGTATTTGTAAACATCACCGACTAAATGCAATTCCAAAATAATAGAGTAGTCTTCAACCACATAAAGCACATCCACAACAAAACCTGTTTGAATCACAAATTACAAAAAGGCAAGCAACGAAATAGCACTATAAACAGAGAAACAGAAGCATAACAAAACAAACATTTGGCTTGCAAAGACTAGATACGAAAAAGATTAAACCAACACTCTATTTTAAAAGAACCCAAACATTAATGAAAGAGAAATTCGAAAGAGAAAGAGTGTGTGTGTGTAGCCGGTGGAAAGGGAACTAACAAGAAAATTATAAGACTAATTTGAATAGGATATGATATTTGACTCATAATGCATACACATAATGAAAGTCAACAACTAAACATTAAAACGTAAGAAACAGACAGTGTTGCTTATTTACTTGTCTTATTTAATGGTTCTTTTGCAACAACAGATATAATAAATCATGGAATAAAGAAACAGATCTTACATTTATCCTAAACTAACAATTGACGAATACAACTTATGCATCAAATACAGTAATACATTATGCCAAGATACTACACTTGCAGAGTTGAAATTGTGACATTTATGTCACGACGTAGATAGAGCTACATCAAAAAGAAAAATTGAAATTCAAAATCAACCTTTCAAAGTTCTATCAAAATGCCAGAACTAGTAAGTACCAAGAGATAATTGATCCAATTTCATAAGGTAACAAGTATAGGAAAAATGAGAAAACTCACGTGTCAACTATCTCACTATAGAACTGGATCGAAGTAGACGGTGCTGGGATTGACGGAAGAGGGCAACGGTTTGAGCGAAGTGGAATAAATTCGATCTGAGCTTTCAGATGAACGCAAAAACTAAACAGAAAAGGGAAAAAAACTTACAGTATGAAAAGAAAGAGAGAGAGCTGAGTGATTAGTGATTTACCTTCAAAAATTTGGGGGGAGAGGGGTTACCGGTGTCGAGGAGAGAGAGGGGGGGTTATCGGCGAGCAGAGAGAGAGAGACAGATGAAATTGGGGAAATAGGGTTGGGATGTGGAATATTAGATTAATGTTACAGCCACAGTAGTCCCAAACCCGCTTAAATTTTTTTATCATTTTAATTTTAATTTTGCGTCCGACACAGTCACTTAGTGGATCAACAGAAGTATTTGACTTTTTAATGTCCGACCGAATTGGTCACAAAAGTGAAGGCGGGAAGTTGGCGCGCTGTTTTCCCACTGCCTTGGTCGGAATAATAGTCATTTTTTTTAAAAAAAAATAAGTAATAAAAATTCAATCCCTTTTCGACTACTGCGGTCGTAAAAGTAGTCCCATTAGCGACTACTTCATTTTCAGTCGCAAAATTCGGTCACAAATTGATGTTTTTCTAGTAGTGAATTTAGCCTTCTCAGAGTTGTTATCCATTGTCATTTTCTTGCTCATTTTCTTTCATGCATTAAGAACATGTGGTTAATAATAATATTGAATATGTGGTTAATAATAATATTAAACAAATAGAGAACAAAATAAAAAAAAAAGAAGAAGAGAAAGATACAAAAAATAAGAGCATCAAGGGAAAAAATTCCAACTATTAATCACTCATATTATTAGAAATCAGCGTTATCATTGGTACATGCAAGTACGTTAAAAAAGAATAAAAATAAAAGTACATACTAGATATTGCGTATAATAAATTGGTGCACTACAAAAAAAATACCTTATGAAAAAAGTATTTGTACTTGTTGCTAGTTTGTTATTTTAAAGAGGAATATGAGACAAAGAAGAAGAATCTGCACAAGAAAAAGGGAGAAGAAGTTTATTTATAGTAATAGATAGGACTTTTCATTTTGGATAAAATATTCAAGGAGATGAATCCATTAAAGTTACTGGGAGAATTTTAGGAGATTTAATAATTAGAGAAATAAAAAAACAAGATTAGTCAGAGAAAACATCAAAAACAAGAAAAGTCAAAAAAGAATTTGGAAAGTTACAAGGTGATTCATGTATTTGATATCTTTAATTTTTAAAATAATGGTAGAAATAAAAAAAAAAAGAAAAAAAGAACTATTCAAGCGAAAGAAGCAAAAACCAATAAAAAGACAAAAAACGAATTTGAAAAGTTTACACGACTCAGGTATCTGATGGTAGTATATATATATATATATATATATATATATATATATATATATATATATATATATATGGGAAGAAATTAAAGGATAATTTGGAAAATATAAATTTATGATGAGGATAGTTTTGTCTTGAATAAATTAATTTTCTGCTTTTGCTTCTGCTTCTTGGAAGAAGCTAGAATTTTCTGCTTCTTCCCAAAAGCAGAAAAATTGCTTCTGCTGTTGGCCAAAAGTACTTTTTTATTTTGGCCAAACACATTAAATTTTTCAAAAAGTACTTTTTTGACAAAAAAAAGTATTTTTGGCCTCCGAGAAACTTGACCAAACGGACTCTAAATTGAAACGGAAGGAGTAAATAACTATTTGAATCTCCATCTCTACTTTCAACTAATCTATACTATATTAAAAGCACGAAGACTCTTAGCGAAATGTCGTTCGCCTTTTTTACCCTTTAAAATAGAATTTACACTAGCGAAATAGTAATTTTAATATTTATGTAGGAATGATCATTTAATTATTTTCCTAATATCTGGGATATTGGAATCAACTATAATTCTGATTATTAACTTTTTTCCATATTGGACTATATAGAGAATCCTAATATTTAGGATTATAAAAGCAATTAATAAACTTTTGCTTTTTATAAATTTCCTTATTTAAAGCCCATTAATATTAAAGTTATAGTAAACTATAATATATTTTTTCCATTCAAAACTTAGAAATTAAGAAGTTATATTTGTACTACCTTTTTTTCGTCCAATTAGCACTACTCTAAACTCTAAAGCTACTGAAAATAGGCACGCATAAAACGTAGGACTCAATTTTAAAATTGAGTTTTAATATTTGATTTAGTTTTTTACAATTTTCTAGGGCTATTTTCCTTCTAATGTCTTTTATAATATGACATATTTCAGGTATTTAGATTCTTAACTAAAATCAAGGGTTTAAATTTTTATCGTACATCAATAATTTTATAATATTAATAAATAAATTGAAAGTAATAATCGAATAGAAAGAAGATTGATTTATCTCATTCTAAATATCAATATTCAATTGAGGTAAATAAATATGCAACATGGACCATGGATTAGGTTAGAATTTGTGCATGAGATAAAAGAGTTGTAATCCTTGTTTTTATCATTTTGGAAGTGCAACTACTTTTATTTTGTACTCATGTAAAGAATTTTGTGTTACTAAATTTAATATTAAAAATATTTAATGCCATTAAAGGGCAATTAGAATATTACATAGATGTTATTAAATTTTATCATGTGAATTTTGTTTTGTTATAAAAAAAATAAAAATAAGAGAGGCGAGCGTAATTCTCAAACCGCAATAGAAGTTTGTGTTATAAGGAGAATCTCAGAGGAAAGTTTTCAAAATTATCCCAAATTGTGATTATATCTAAATTTTAA